GGAGATCCAGGTTCCCTGGTTCCCCCCATCCCCAACTTTGACGAGAACCCTGACATCCCTGCACCCTCCGCTGCCGTCCCGGTTCCTGCCCCACTATCTCTCTGGCTCTGACCTCCTCTACCTTACTGATTTTATTCAGCTATTCACCAGCTTTTGAGCCCTGGCCAAGCCCCCAGGAATCTCCTGTTCTGGTGGAAAAGACAGAGGGCCCCCCACACCCAAGCGTCGCAGAATGGGCACTGCGCGAATCCCTGCCAGGAATGTCACCCCTGTGGTCCACACACCTCCCTGCCCGCCTCTCTTGGCCTCCATCTCTGCTGTCCTTCTCTCTCTCTTTTTTGCCGCATGGTGCTGGGAATCGAACCCAGGGCCTTGTGCATGCAACACAAGAACTCTACCACTGAGCCACATCTCCAGCACAGTCCTACTCTTCTGCCCTGGGCTGGGTCTTTATTAGGCCACAGCCCCTTTGTCTGTGAGCCTTTCCTGGACCCTTGGGTGAGCTTGTGCTTTTCTAACTGAGAGTTCTGCTTCCGTTCTTGCACCTTCCCTCTGCCTGTGTCTGTCTTTGTCTCAATTTCTCAGCATCACTAGCACCTCTGACAGCCTCTCCCTTGTGGTGTGTGTGTGTGTTCATTTGTGCTCCTGCATACCGTGTGGACAGCCCGGTGTTTCTCTGCCTGCCCTATTGTAGCTGCTTAAGGGTTCACCACTTGTGCGATGGTGTCGAAGGCCGAGAGGGAGGGAGATCAAAGCAGGTGGGAAGTCACTTAAATAAGCCCACAGAAGCGTGCCAGGCCCAGAGGTGAGGCGGTGGGTTGGGTGGATGCTACAGCAAGTGGCTGATGTGTTTTCATTTTCTGTCTGTGGTCAGTCCCTTCCCGCTTGGCCTCCCACCTGACTCCCAACCCTGCAACCACACTTCCCTGCTTTGCTGTTTGGCTCAGGTTCTATTACCTGGAAGTGGGTGTGGGAAGAGGGCTGAGATTTCACCCCTTGCTTGGGCTGACTCTGTTTCGGCAGGGGTGGTGGGAGGCTGGGGCACTCGGGACCCCAGAGCCATGTGCAGAGGCGCAGGCACCACTTGGTGGGTCCTGTGCTCTGAGTTCTTGGCACCTTCTTGACACTCAAGGGCATACCAATACCTTGTCCCTCCTCTTTGCCTAAAGCCACCAGGGCACCTCTACCCTCTTGCTAACAAGCTGCTGAGCCTAGAAACTGACAGCCACCACCCACTGTCAAGGCATTGCCCTCCTCTGCTCTCTCAGTTCCTGTCTCCTCCTCCTCACAGCAGGGCCTTCTGGACTCTGGCTCTTGCCCTTCCAAGCTCTGCGCTGCACCCGCTTGGTCAAGGAGCATCCGAGGACTGACTCCAAGTCCTCCCCCGCACCCCTGGCAAGTCCCGCCCCACTGGAAGGAGCATGTCACCCCCACGGCCTTGCCTGGCTGGAGCTGTGACCCTCACCTGGACGTGTATATGGGTGGGGTGCTCTGCCTCCTTTTCCTCATGGGGGTTTCACCAGGCAGGACTGGAGCTGGGCATTTGCTCACTTGCACTTTATCAAGCAACAGACTTATTTGGAACACCTACCGCTGTACCTGACAGCTGAGCCTTGATGGATGTAGTCAAGAAACTGCCCTTGGGCCAGGCAGGGAGGGTGGCCAGTGCCCAGCAGTTCCTACTACAGCAGAAGTGAGAAGTGAAGACTCCAGAATAGGAGGGAATGCAGGCAAGTCACGGAGGATGTCTCAGAGGAGGTGACTGTTTGATCCCAAGAGAGCAGAAGGGAACAGTGCCCCTCACTAAAGCTTGCACAAGGGCACGGAGGGGCAGGTGGCAAAAGCCTGGTATGTGCAGAAGAGAGAGAACAAGACTGGGTGAGAGGAGAACTAGCCGGGGCCTGGGGCCTCTGGACTCCATCTCTAATACTGTCTTGGTTGCGGGGACTGTTTGGGGACCAGGAGTAATGCTTGTGACTTTCATAAGGCTCAGAATCTTAATGATCTTCCTGGAGTTAAATTTTGAGACTACTCATTGTCTTCCTCTCCACACTTCTGCTGGGTCATCATTGCTTCCATTTCCCTTCTTATAAGGGTCAATTTTACTTCAAAATCCCCAAATTCCCAGAAAGACAGATGCCACCTTGTTTATCACCTTCCTGTTCATTTTCACATGGTCCCTCCAATTGTCTGCTTTGTGTTGTTTAAGCGCTCAGCATAAATACTGAACATAGCTACCGTTCAGTGGGTACATGCGAGAGACTATAACAAGCATGGTGAACACTTCGGTGTGTTTGACTTTCACAGCCTTAGAGGTGGACGTGATCGTCCCCCAGTTTACCGAGGATGAAAAGGGAGCTTAGCGAGTAACTTAGCCAAGGTCACTTGGCTAGGAAGCTGCAGAAGTACAATGTAAGCTTCAGTCTGTGTCCTACGCCTCAGCTCCTGGTAGTGTGTTTATGTAGCGAGGACCTTTGCGGCCTGCTCTAGACCTGCCGTTGTACAGGTGAGCCAGTGCAGGCCTGATGAAGAATGACAAGCCCGAGGTTGCCTGCTCCTCATCCCGGAGGGATCTCTGTTCCCTGACTCCTGTTGCAGGATCAGCTACCACCTAGCTCCCAGAGGACAAGAGGCCAGCTGCTTCTGGTCCTCTGGCGACTTCAACAAGAGACCAGGGTGTCCAGGCTGCATGCGGGAAAGCTGTCTTTATAAATTGCATCTGTGAGCCAGGGCTTACTGGTCACCCCACTCTGAAGCCCTTGACTTGGGCTCGGGGGCTGTGGGAAGGAGAAATGTGTGTATGGAGAGTTTGCAGCATGTAGCTGCACTAGAGAAATGCGCAAGGATATGAATAAATTTGAATAATAATGAGGGCAATGCCTGAATTAATAATGCTGGCTGCTCACCTGACCCACCCTTCCACCAGGATCTCAGCCCCTCCTACCCTTGTTCCTCGAAATGTGGGTGAGCCTCATCCTCTCCTTAAGAGATGTGCCGGTAAAGTCAGATCAGCAGTGCTGGGGAGTCACTTTCATGTATGGGAAAAAGACCCTGTTTCTTTGGGCTCTGCCAACCCAAAGAGTTGAATTAGTCCACTTTACCAAGAGTAAAGAAGCTGCTTTATATTATATCATATTGTGGCCATCAGGCCATTCTTGGCCCCACCACCTCCAATTCCTTCGCAGCCCACTCAGCCTCCTTTTTGACCCACAGCCAATGAGGACAGATGTCCAATATTCAGGGAGAATGAGAGGGAAAAGACAGCATGGCTCACTGCTTTGGGATAGAGGTTCTCATTCTGGTGGAACAGATAGGAGAAACACCACCAACACCCCCGCCCACCAGCTGCCCTCAATCTCCAACACACAGGCCTAAGCCCTAATAGCTTGAGACAGGAAATCCTGTGGATAAAGCTACAAGAGGAGGGCTGGGTGGTGGACAAGTGTGCTTGCTCAAGGAGCAAAGTGATCAGTCTAGGAGGGCTTCCTAGAAGACGGGAAGATGGGGCAGATTTGAGCAGGGGGAGAAATGGGGCAGGAGGAACAGAAGAAGGGAGAGGATAAGGTTAGGATCCTGGTGCTGGGGTGTAGCGCAGTAGTAGAACACTAGCCTAGCACTCACAAGGCCCTGAGTTCAACCCCCAGGCTTGGAGGACATGGAGGACAGGTAGAATCATTGCCTGTACGGTGGTTTAGAGGAAGGTCCAGAAATGGTAAGGGATGAGTTATATGCATTTGCACACAGGAACCATAGCAGATCAGAGAAATTTTGGGAATCTGGGTTTGGAAGGGGATGGATTTGGAGACTGTGGCTTCTGTGAAGGCTTTGTGCTGGGAGGGAAGGAAGAGGAGGGAGCTGCTGGGGTCTGAAGAGAGCTGATTCTGGTTACCTGGGTGTGCTGGAAATGTCCCCTCCCCTCCACTCTCCTCCCCTCCTTCCCCACAGCACGGTGGCCTGTCCCACCACTGGGGCCGACCAGTGATGGAGTGAGCCGGTGGGTGGGAGCAGTGGGGGAGAAGAAACCCGCAATCCAATTCCCTGCTCCATTTAGGCTCCACAATTAAAGGCAATTACTCTGCAGTTCTCTAATCAAATGCTCCCGGCCGAGCTGCCAGCCGGGCAGCCATGTGTAGCTCCCGCAGCCGGAGGGAGAGTGGAACAAAGTCACACGGCCTCTTGGCTCCCACGGTGCGGGAGGCTGAGGGCATGCAGGTGTGTCCGTGTGTACCCTCATGCCCCAGCACTTGGGTCAAGGAGGGAACACAGCATGGGGCCAGTGTGCCAAGAAGTGGGTCCGAGCCACTTGACCTTGGATCTGTGCGTACATGACCGTGTAGACATGGCTGACCCGTGGAACCCACCCCTCTGCCCTTGAAGGAGGCATGGGGGGATTATACCTGGTGTAGTTGCATACTTGGTGCCTCATGTTGGCTCATGTGACACATGTCCTAGTAGGTGTCATGGTGGCGGATTCATGCGTCTGGGCCTGAGTCCCAAGGGTGCAGGCTGTGACGTCAGCAGCAGCCTTTGTTATGGCTGCAGCGCCTGTGACTGGCTGCGGAGGAAGGCAGGCAGTAGGGTCATGGAGGAATAGCCCAGGACCTGGCAGGCAGAGGCTCCAGCTCCAAACCCAAATCTACTAATAATTCCTGGGTGCCCGTGGGTAGGTCTCTCTTCTCCGGGGACCTCCGAGTCCTGCTCCACAGAATGAGGTTTTTGGGCCAGACCCATTCCCGAGGCCTTTAGGTAACACTGCACCACTGCTGTGATTGCTGGTTACTTCGGCGCCTAAAACCCACCCGGGTGGGCTGTGGGGAGAGAAGGGAACGAAGGGCAAGCCCGTGATGGCTTGGAGGGAAGGGGTTGGCACTGAAGTGGGGCAGGGGCCGAGACTGTCTCCTTCTTTCAGGGAGAGAATGGAAGCTGAGGTAGGGTGGCCTCTTGGCAGAGCCCCTCTCCTCAGTCACCTCCTTACCCAGTGACCGCTTGGGTTTTACCAGGGACTCAGACCCGCTTCAGCCAGGAGCCAGCTGACCAGACTGTGGTGGCCGGACAGCGGGCCGTGCTCCCTTGCGTGCTCCTCAACTATTCTGGCATTGTGCAATGGACCAAGGACGGGCTGGCCCTGGGCATGGGACAGGGCCTCAAAGGTGAGTGGCCACCCCACACCCAAGTGGTGATGTCTTCACCCTCGTTTCTCACTCTCCACCCAGACTCGGGGACTCGCCATCCCTGATGTTCCTCACCACGCACGACCTCCCCTCCCCTTCTCCTGACTCTGTTCTTCCCAAACTGTGGACAAGGCCACGAAAGGCAGTGCAGAGCCCAGGAGATGGAGGCAAACCCAGAGACCTTTGCAGATGGGAGTTGCAGGGCAGCCGCAGGCAGACAGGTCACACAGGAGGTGTCAGGACAGTACAAGGTGGGGCCTCCGGTACTTTCTGTGTTCCTGGAGTGCTGCAAGCAGGCCAGCTGTGCTCCACCTTCTCCTCCCCGCTGCCCAGGCCATGTCTATTCAGAGGCCTAAAATTCGTTTTAATGTCAGCCCGAACACTTATTTACTTATTCATTGAGCAAGCATTTCTTAAGCACAGGCTATGTAGTCAGTGCTGAAGAAAACATAATGACTCACTTAGGATCAAAAGGGCAACCTCCTATATTCCTTAGCAAGTGAGGAGACCTGCAGGAAGGCTGCCCGAGGACCGAGTAGGAGCCTGAGTCCTGGTCCTGCCTCTGTCGCCTGGGAGCTGGGTCACCTGTGGAAAGCCCCTTCCCCTCTCTGACACCGGGAACAGGCATAACAGTGACAGGATTGCCTGCCTTCAAAGTGCCCCTGTAGGTTTTGCATGAAATGAGAGAAGATGCTTTGTGAAAACACATGGTTAGCTGTAAAGCCCTGTGATGGTGCGCGTATGGGGGAGTTGTGCTGTGTATTTCTACCCTTACTATTTTTGAGGGGGTTGAGATGATTTATGTGGGCTCCGAGTAGTTTTTGGTACAGGTAGGGGAGATCTGTGTGTAGCCATCTGTATAAAGGAAAGAGGTGGTTCGCACCAATCTATTGCTGATGGAAAGAGAGAGACTGGGAGAGAGAGATCAATAGATATGGAGTGAGAAGAATCGATAGCCGCTAGACAGAGGGAGATCGCGGGCGGGTGGGGATGTGTGACGTGAGTGAGGATGTGAGCAGAACTTGGAGGGCGGAGGACCACAGAGACCAAATGGAGGGGCAGAGCCTCAGAGGCCACACACCCCCCGCCGGGGGCAGGACACCAGGCCCTGGTTAGGCAGGACCTGGCAGACCTTGCCTCGTCCATTCCTCCCGTGGCGTGTGGGGCAAGACCTCGGCCTGCCTTGGGCTTCCCTCTGCCTCATAAGCCCCACAGAGGTGCCCCCAGTGAGCTCCGGCTGCACCGTGCTGCCCTATATTTCCTCTTGCCCACACGCTCTCCCGCTCCCCTCCTGCTTTTCTCCCTGCTGGCTGCTTTCTCCCCTCTTCCTTTGCTATCATTATGAGAGACATTTGTCTGCAAACAGCTCCGGAGATATCATCTGCTCCTGCTCGTCTCCCCACGTCTGCCTGCCCCCATCCAAGCCTCCTGCTTTATGGCTCCCCCGCTCGCTGTGGGGGGCCCTGACACATTTGGGTCTGTCTGGCACTTCCAGATCCCACCTGCCATAGTGCCCCAGGAGAAGGGAGAGGGGGATGCAGACCTGGGATTGGGTGGGTCCTGACTCAGGACAAGAGGCGGGGAGAGGGTGCATCGTTGGGACGTGGTAGTCTGATCCTGAGGCCAGGCCTCACCCTTTCTCTTCCTGCAGCCTGGCCACGATACAGGGTCGTGGGCTCTGCGGATGCTGGGCAGTACAACCTGGAGATCACAGACGCCGAACTCTCTGACGACGCTTCTTACGAGTGCCAGGCCACGGAAGCTGCCCTGCGCTCCCGGAGGGCCAAACTCACCGTGCTCAGTAATGACTGCCCCCACCTACCCTCCTGCCCCCAGCTCTGTCTCCCACTTCTCCCATGCCTTGGCCTTGCTTTTCCCCACACTGTTCTTGCTGTTCTCCGTGTGATTTTCTCTGACAGTTTCTTCCTTAAGCATCTTCCAGAGCCAAGTGCAGATGAGGAGAGTCCAGGGGGCTGTCGACAGCCACTGGTGGCCTGTTGGAGCCATGTGGGTCTGGCATCCTCTGCTCCAGTCTCTGCCCAGGCCATTTGGGACCCAGACCCACCTTGGGACATAGCATGGAAATGGGGCTCCTCCTGCAGGAGAATGTGGGTTGATGGAATGCCCTCCCTTCCCAGCTGCCCAGCAGTCAGGCTTGTGGGTGAGGGAGCTTCTCCCTCCTCCTTTCCACCCCTCTGCTACTTCAGAGACCCAGAAACAGCCCTTTTGCTGACTCCTACCCCAGCCCAGCCCCACCTGCTCTGGCTGCCCCCCTCCGTCCCCTCTGCACTCGCCCCTCCTCTCAGATTCACCAGGGCCTCCTCAGGGGATGGTGCAGGCTGGCAGGAAGGGCCTGGAGGGCTGGGGCTGGGGTCCTGCTGTGTCTGCTGGCAGCTATAGCTGCAGGAGGGCTCGTCTTGTGGAAGCCCTGCTCCCAGCAGCAATGTGCGGTGGGGACACAGCAGATGTCCTTGAATGGTAGCCCCCGTGGCCATCTGCATAACGAGGTGACTCTCCTGCACACAGAACTGGAATGGGGCCAGCTGTGACACGCTTTAGCCCCTCTGTCACTTGAGTCCTGGCCTCGGACGTTCGGCCTCCCCTGCTCAGTGGTCTGCCGCGTACTGTCTGACTTAGGCTCTTCTACCTGGGACCCTCTCTTCCCTTTTGCCATTAGCTCTGTTCCTGTCTCTTTCCTGCTTCCATCTGATCTGTCTCAATTGCCCTCGTTCCCCTCCCTCTAACGTGAAATCACTGAAGCAGGGAGTGAGGGGAGAGGAGCTGAGATGAATGAACTTGGAACCAGGACACTTACTGTTTTAGGGCAAGCGGAGAGAGAATGTGGCAAGTTGTCTCAGGCAGCAGAAAGAACCCTGTGCTGCTCGGAGTCCAGAGACCTGGGCTCTGATATCTCCTTGCCTGTGTTGGCACCACAACCCAGTGAGGTCCTGGCCTCTGAGCATGGGCTTTTCATCATTGACGTGGCTTAATGACACCAGCCTGTTCTTAGTCAGTGCCGCCTCCCGCTGCCTGCACAGGGGGTCATAAGCTGGGAAGATCTGTGCAAGTGTGAGGTGTCAGAAAGTGAGAACTGGAGGGACCCAGCGGCTGGGCTGGTCCTTTGGAAGGGCTAAGATGCATAGCTGGTCGGGGACTTGCTTTTCCTCACTAGAACCAAAGTAGGAACACTAGCTAGGGGCAGGATTGTAGTTACAGAACAAGAATTAGAGATGAACATGAAATGCAAGACATCATCCTTTATCCACACTGAACCAGGCATCCCAAGGATGCTGAGATATTTACAGGAGCGTCCTCCTCCTTTCTTCCCTAACTGCCTCTAGTTTGGACCCTGGAAGGTGCTACTTCTGTCCTGGAGAAGTCGCATCCCAGCGAGGGGCCCTCATATCCTTCCCTTCTCTGTCCTGTTTCACACACAAATGGAGAAAGAGAAATGATGAAAATTCCACTAAATGCCTCAGTGTGGCCCCACCAAGGGTTTGCAATGGCACCCCTTGGCTTGGCTCAGTCCACCAAGTCTTCCTGGAGAAGGAGAATGGCAGTGGGAACCCTCGATGGGGGCGTGGCTTGTTAGAAAGCTTGCAGGTCAGAGAGGGAACCTAACTGGCTCCTGGAAGGGACTGGTCACTGCTGAGGGTGAGGCCTTCTCTGATTTGAGCAGAGAAGCAGAGCTGAGCGGGCGGCAGATGGTAAGTCCTGATGCGCCTCTCCCTCACTCCCTACCTGGCATCTCTCCCCAGCCTTCAAACACCCGCCACCTGTACCACACGGAGGCAGCCAGAAGGGGTAACAATTTCCACACCCCCTGTTACCAGCCTGCCCACAGCCCTGGCTTGTGGCCCTGGGGCCCTATACACTGGACAGGGCAGAAACAAGCAGGCCGTGCCCCGGGTCTGGAATCTGCCTCCCTGCACACGCCAGCCCCATAAACTCCCCTCATCTGCAGCCTCCCCAGCTAGTCCACGCCCCACCTCCCCAGGCCAGCCGCCTTCACAGAATGGCCTCTTTCATTCTTCCTTGCAGCAGGCTTGAGAGGAGGCCTGCCCCCCTTCCCAGCAGACGCAGAGCCAGACATAATATAGATCTGCAGGCCTACAGCTCATTATTCAGGGCAGTAACAACGGGAGTGCAGCGGGATGAGTGTGGCTGTGGGGTCAGGCGGGCTTAGTCCATGGCCCAGCTCTGCCATTTACCGCGCCCTCTCGTCTCCGGGCCTCAGTTCCTTATCTGTAAATTGGGGTTAATGGTATTTCCATGGGAGGATTAATGACATGTACTCTGCGGGAAGGATTGAATGAAACCATATACGCGAGGCACCCTCACTGACACGAACGGTAAGCATTCAGCAGATGGTAAAAATGATTGCTGATCGTGTTACAGTGCACAGTTGGCTTCACGTCCCAGGTGTTGTTTTCGAAATTTTACAAACAAGGAAACTGAGGCCACTAGGCACTTGGGCGCACTGATACACATTTAAGATTGAAGTCACAGATCAGAAACACGGGGTTCCTAAGCACAGGCACACACCAAGCTCTCTAAGGGCTGGCTGAGCGCACGCCTCCATAACCTTGAATCTAGGGCTCTGCTCGTGCAGGACTGCACCCTCCAGCATGGCAGCAAGCTGCTTCCCACCCCCATCCCTGAACCTGCCCCCATCTGACCCTGGAACCTGATACACCAGGGAGAGAGGAGTAGGAGGAGAGCCCAGGAGTCAGAGGATCATTAGCCAGGCAGAGCCAGAGCCTCTGCTGGTTTTCACTGGGGAGTAACGCTAACACGGTTTACAATCGTGAGGGCCTCCACCTTCCAGTGCATGTGCAGCACTGCCCCGGCTTTCACAAGGGCCCAGGAGTAGCCATTATGATGCCTCTGATGAAGAAGCTGACACTTAGTGACTTCAGTGACTCGCCCAACATCACACAGCAGGTAGACGAAGGTGCCAGGACTTGAAAGGAGAGTAGCCTGGTTCTGAACTCATCTCCCTGCTCTCCCACTGGGTGTGCATGGGTTAAGAGAACGCCAGAATGGACCTAAGCGGCTTCCTTCCACTGGAAACCGCAGCACAGAGACCTTCCCGAGCTTTGGGCAGCTCTGCCCCATCCCCCCTCAGCTCCATGGGCCTCCCGTGTTCGCTTCCCATGGGTCCCTCTGCAAACCTCCCTCTCATTCTTGTCTGTCCTAGAAGGAAACCAATGAAACCCTTCTTCATGGGGGGACCAAAAAGATTATATAGCCAAAATCCTTAGGCCTTTATCCCCTCTTATCCATTCCTTACTTCAGCAAATATTCCTCCAAGGATCTGTGATCAGCCAAGCTCTGGCTGGACATTGGAAGTTGGAGCATGAATAAGGAGAGGCCCCGCCCTCAGGGCGCCTACAGTCTGGTGCACATTAGCTTTAGAAGCCTGTGGGGATGTGTGTGGCAGGGAGACAGCTCCTGTTTGCCAGCAGGAAATGTCCGGTGCATTCAGTTCCTTAAGCATTCAGCCTGCTTTGGCCATATTCTAGGGACTGGAAATGGTATATAAATATTAGTGAGACAGGGTCCCTGCTTTCCCAAGGGATAGCGGTTTTGGTTGAGGCAGGGGCAGATAGTCACCATAAATAACCCAAATACGGGGCGGAGGTGCTAAGAACAGTGAGTGACTGGCTGGGTGTAGGCCACAGGAAGCTTTTGCATCTACTGGGATTTGACAGGGTGGTAACACCTTACAGAAGGACACGCCACATGGGAAGATTAAGCACAAGCAAAGATCCGGAGGAGGTGAGAAACCAGGGCTCAAGGACCCCAGAACAAAAGGCCCAGGGGCTTGGAACTCATGCCAGAGGCAGTGGTAGCCACTCAACGTGTTTGAGCAGGGGGCTGGCACGGCCTTAATGGCCACAGGGAAAGCAGCCTACTCAGGAAGGTTGCTGGAGTGGCCTGTCCATCTGGCTGCCCCTGGGCAGAGGAGCAGACAGAAGTAGGTAGGTGTAAGAAGCTCCATGAATGTAGTCACCCTTCTTGAGGCGTGAGCTGTGCTCAAGGCCTGAGATAGCCTGTGCCTTTCCTCGAGTGTGAGGCTTCCCCTCTTTCCTAGTGTGTACCCTGGAGCAGTGTCGGGGTGGGGGGTAGGGGTGTGGTCCCTGAAATGGTGCAGGCTGAGAAAGAATAACCACAGGAGGCTGGGAAAGCTTGCGGGCTGCTCACCCCACGTGAAGCCAGCGTGGGAGCGAAATAGTCACTAGTTAGGACGGGTAGCACCACACTGCAGAGAGGTGCAGATGAAGGGACAACCCTGTGAGCACAGAGAGTGGATACCTGGGTAGTGTTAGCTGCACCCTGGGCTGACTCCGCTGTGCTCTTCCCCGGCAGTTCCCCCAGAGGACACCAGGATTGACGGTGGCCCCGTGATCCTGCTGCAGGCGGGCACCCCCCACAACCTTACCTGCCGGGCCTTCAACGCCAAGCCCGCCGCCACCATCATCTGGTTCCGGGACGGGACCCAGCAGGAGGGCGCGGTGGCCAGCACGGTGAGACCCTGCCTGCTCCTCTGGGCCCAGCCCTTCTTTTTTTTCCCATAAGATCTGCCCACAGGCTGAGGAGGACAGAGGTGAGAAATGGGCCCTGCCGAGGTCATCTTGTCCAGTGCTCTGATGAGACAGTTGGGAAAACTGTAGCCCAGAGAAGAGAAGCGGGTACCCAGCTTTACCTCACCACTCAGTAGTTGAGCAGAAACATTAACAGTGATCAAGCACTTGCTACGCACCAGGTTCTGTACATGATAAGCACTTTATGGACAGGCTTTCTGAGTCCTCACCAGAGCCCTAGAATGTGGGTGCTGCTTGCACCTCACAAAGGCAGAAACTGGTCAGAGTTTGAGTGCCTTACCCAAGGTCACACAGCTCACAAGAAGCAGAGCTGGGATTTGTAGCCGGGTCTAACAGTGCACTGTCTGCAGTGATCATTTCTACCCCTGTTCTCCAGCAGCAAATTGGTACATCACCCCAGTCGTGACTACTAAGAGGTTGGGAAAGCAAGGATTATGTATTGCATACAGCTTGCAGAGGAGGCAACCATGACAGTGAAAGGCATCCAGCCACTTGCCCAGGATCCTATGGCAAAGGTGGTGGTACAGATAGAATTAGAATCCACATCTTCTGTTTGGGGTCCTTCTGCTAGCCATAGGCTCTTTTCTGGGTGCTCAGGAGATGCTTCTCAGTGTGGAGAGACTGCTCACCTTTGTTTGTACATGGGTGGTGAGCTCAGGGGGTACTTGACTTTGGCTTTAGCTCCGCCCTCTGTGCATGGTGTGACCTTGACCAGTTCATGTCATAAGTGATCCTTTGGGCTCAGTGGTGCTTAACCTCTTTGCCACCAAGAGCTGTTATTTTTCTGCTGTGGGGCTACATGTTTCAAAATGCTTTGGCAGCCCAGCAAGTCTCTTCATTCATGGCATTAGTTGTCCATCCCCCATGTCTTGGCTACTTTTCTCTCATTGCTGAGACAAAATACCTAACACCCAGAATTAAGGAAGGAAAGGTTTGTTTAGCTCATACTCTGTGGAGGTTTCAGTCCATACTCAGCTGGCTCCAAGGCAGAGTGGCTAACGGCAGCGGAAAACAGCAAAGTAACAAGAGCAAAAGGGAGGAGTGGCAGCAAGCAGCCTCTTTCTCTCCCTTACATTGTATGCAAACTATCTGCCCCAGGGCCGGTGTAGCACTCACACCCATAATCCCAGCATTGGATCATGGATCAATCATAAACTCTAAAAGCCCATACCCAGGCTTTGAGGGGACATCCAGACACAAACTGTAACACCTCGTTTCCATATTCGTTGAAAACCAAAGCCCTGTGAAGCTGTGTTACAGCACTGACTGGTTCTGTGTGGTCCTCCAAAGATCAGGACTCATCTAAGTGCAGGACCAGACTTTGGTTGATTTCCCTTAAGCAGTCTGCAATATGAAAAACAGCCTGAGGGTTCCAGTGATCATATTGGAGAATCTCAGCTTAGGTGTCACTGAGCAAGTGTCTCTGGGTACTGCAGGCCCGGCCCTGTGCTCAAGGAGTCTGCGGGTTCCTGGAGACACCCAATGCTGAAACCCCACAGGTGGTCCCACAAGTAAGGCTAGGTGCACAGGTTCAGAATGGGAGGTGATCCTGGAGGTTGGATCAGCCCAGAAAGGCTTTCCAGGAGAGTGACTTACACTGGACTCAGAGAATTGCAGGAAGGAGGCTCCATCCCATGGAAAAAACTACAGCAACCAAAAGTAAACGCTCCTGTAAGCTGTGAGCTTCAGTTAGTGACAGTACATCTGGACTGGTCCATCTGTCGTAATGCGTTTATGTTAGTGACAAGGGAATCCGTGAGGTAGACAAGAGAAGGTATGGAAACTCTGTACTTTCTGATCAATTTTTCTGTAAATTTAAACCTTTTAAAAAGCCAATTAAAAGCCTAGTGTGGGGCTGGGGACATAGCTCAGTGGTAGAGTGCTTGCCTGGAATGCACAGGCCCTGAGTTCAATCCCCAGTACCACCAAAAAAAAAAAAAAAAGCCAAGTGTGATGGTACACGCCTATCCCACCACTTGGGAGCCTGAGGCAGGAGGATCTCTGTGGTTTTGAGGCCAGCCTGAACTACTTAGCAAGACCCTGTCTCATAAAACCAAAGAAAGAAAAGTCCATTAATAAAAAAAAAATCTCAGAAGAAGAAAACGGGAAGAGTTGAGCTTTGAAGTCCCCCTCCGAGAGGTCAGGTCCTTCAGAGGAGAGGGCTACCAGCTTGACCTTGTCTCCCACCCTTGTCACGCTCCAGGAACTGCTGAAGGATGGGAAGAGGGAGACCACCATTAGCCAGCTGCTCATTAACCCCACAGACCTGGATATCGGGCGCGTCTTCACGTGCCGCAGCATGAACGAGGCCATCCCTAGTGGCAAGGAGACTTCCATTGAGCTGGATGTGCACCGTGAGTGGGGCCCGCGGAGCGGCAGGCTGGGAGCCGAGGTGTGGAGGAGGCGCAGGCAGCCTCTGGGAGGCATAGGGACAGATGTTCCCTTCATCCTCCTCAGTCTCCTGCTCTGAACCAGGGACCCTGGGCACGACCAGTAAAGGGGCATTGCCTGCGCTCGGGCAAGCCCTGGATTTAAACGGGAGTGTGATTTGGAGCAATGATTTAGTGTCTCTCAGCCTCAGATTCAGATTGTGTACAGCTGTAGAAAATAAAATACAGACTAGAGCCCCGTACCCACGATTCCAAACTAAAGTGAATTGGCGGAGAAACCCGAACCCAGGCTCTTCTTGGTCCCTTACTAACTTAAGTCATGGTTAAGTTACGACTTAACCACTATTCATGTGCGTCTTTGCGGGGTGTTCCACAGACGCTGCTGGGGGGCGGGGTTTCTTACAGAATCGAGAACCCACGCATAGCATTGTTTCTGAAAATTTCAAAAATTCCAAACAGCAAAACACTTCCGGCCCCAAGGGCCTCAGATAAGGTACTGCGGACCTCTTAGTGCTTCTGGGGTTGTGACCATTAAATAAATTATAGCATAAGAGCATCTAGCAGAGGGTGTGATCACCTAGTAGATGCTCAAAATTTCCCCCTGTCCAGGGAACCGGGAGAGTGTGGACGGCAATTTGTGATACTCCCACCCTGTCCTGGTCCCCTTTTAGGAAGCCAAGCGAGCCCACACTGGCGCCTAGTGGCCACCATGGATCATTGCACCCATTAAATAACTGTCCCTTGGTCTCTGGAGTGCCGTCTTTGTCGGTCACCCTAGCCAGCCCCCTACCGGCTCCTTATGGAAAAGGTGAAGGTAGTGAATTGTGTATTATTGGAGCTGATATGCTGAAACCCAGATTGCCGGATCACACCAGAGTCGCGTGAGTGTATGTGCTAGAAAGAGACCAAAAAGACCCTGATCTGTCCCCTACTTTCAGATCCTCCTACCGTGACCCTGTCCATCGAGCCTCAGACAGTGCAGGAGGGCGAGCGTGTGGTCTTCACGTGCCAGGCCACGGCCAACCCTGAGATCCTGGGCTACAGGTGAAAGGGCTGAGGCCAGGGCTGGGTTTGGGAGCTGTATCGGGGAGGCCTGAGACCAGCAGTGGTGGGCACTGGGGAAGCCATGGTCTTTGGGGCACAGAGTTTCAACTTAGAGCCCACCTCTCTGCTGCATCCCCCCCCCAGATGGGCCAAGGGGGGCTTCTTGATTGAAGATGCCCACGAGAGTCGCTACGAGACAAATGTCGACTACTCCTTCTTCACGGAGCCTGTATCTTGTGAGGTCCACAACAAAGTGGGGAGCACCAATGTCAGCACTTTAGTGAACGTCCACTGTGAGTAGCTGGGGGCACGAGCAGGGCTGGGGGGGAGACCCCAGGAAGCGGGAGGCAGTGGGAGTGTAAACTCGGGAGATGACAGGCCAGGGAAGTGGAGGGAGACCTTCTGAGCTTAGGAACCTAACAATTGCTTCTGTCCACCCCAGTTGCCCCTCGGATTGTAGTGGACCCCAAGCCCACGACCACAGACATTGGCTCTGATGTGACCCTCACATGTGTCTGGGTTGGGAATCCCCCCCTCACCCTTACCTGGACCAAGAAGGACTCAAACATGGTAAGACTGTCCTTGCCTGTCCCGAGTGCTGGGAGGAAGGGCACCGCCTTTGACTACAGCAGGGGCAAGGGGAGGGCTGGGGTTCCTTCTCACAGTGAACCAGGGATAACGCCGGGGTCTTGGGGTGAGAGGACAGTGCTTGCCGTCAGCGCCCACCCCTTCTCACAGGACAGCTGGCCAATTAGAGGCCGGGGGAGGGAGAAGCCAGCGGTCTGTGCGTGGGAAACAGTGAGGAGGGACAAAGAAAGGCCTGAGGTGACGCTTTGGAGTGGCAGAAAGAGCTGGTCAACTGACGGGGCACAGGGAGGTCGGGAAGCAGGGATGACTCGCTGGAGAGGGGCGGGCTGCATTCCACAGCCCTAGAGACCCACGTTAGACAGTTTGGGCCAGAATAATAGGGAGAATTGCAGAGTAAAGTATCTGAGCCGGTTGGCAGTCAAGACACTAGAACACGTCATGAGAAGAGGCTGTGTCCTCTTGGAATCCCTGCAGCCATCACCTGCCCTCTCTGGCCTCCCTTGTCCCCACCCACCCTTGGGACGAGGTGTGTGTAAGTGCCAGCCTGTGTAGAGATCAGGGACAGATCAGCTGGACTTGGGAACCCCATTTCCCTGCTGGGAATTCACTTGTGGCCCTTCCTGCTTTCTTTCCAATGCCTCTGATGCGGGGCTCTCACGGACCTAGGGGTCCCGACCTCCTGGCTCCCCACCCGAGGCTGCTCTCTCTGCCCAGGTCCTGAGTAACAGCAACCAGCTGCTGCTGAAGTCGGTGACCCAGGCAGATGCTGGCACCTACACTTGCCGGGCCATTGTGCCTCGCATCGGAGTGGCCGAGCGGGAGGTGCCGCTCTACGTGAACGGTGAGTGGCCCGAGGGAGGTGGGGTCCGGTGGGCAGGGGCTGCGGGGTTCTGAGCGGCTTTGACTGTGTCTTCTTCCTCGCAGGGCCCCCCATTATCTCCAGTGAAGCGGTGCAGTACGCCGTGCGGGGTGACGGTGGCAAGGTGGAATGCTTCATTGGGAGCACGCCACCTCCAGACCGCATCGTGAGTGCCGGCGGCTCTGCCCTAGCCCAGCCCAGCCTCCTCCTCTCGCCACCCCTGCTTGATGTCTTCAGTGTCCCCACCCCTTGTCTGGGGCCTTTCTGTCCCTCTGTCCCTTTGCCTGCTCAAATCCTCGCCTCCTGTCTCACTTGTGTGATCCTGAGCAAATGACTCGGTGTTTTGGACCTCAGTTTCCTCATCTATAGAACAGAGGCTGTGACTTATAGGCTTGTCGTGAGAATAATCACAGCCACAGGTGTGAAGAGCCTAGAGGAGCACTGGGTGCTCAGGTCACCATCAGCATCAGCATCAGCATCACCGTCAGCATCAGTGCCCTTCCGGATGTCCCCTTGGCCAAGATGCTTGCTCTCTCCTCCCTCATTCCCGCCTGCTCTTTCTCTCCCTTTTCCTCTCTCTTCCTCTTGCCCACCCCTCCCACCCTCCCCATCAATTCCCCTTCTCACCCTGCCCAGCTCTGCTCTCCCTTCTCCTGCCTGCCTCCCACCAGCTCCTTGCCACTCCCCCGTGTCTCCTCTCCCCACACCATGAGCCATTAATTCCTTCCGTGACCATTAGCCGTCAAACCCCTCATCACATTTAATGACCATTTGGCTAACTCCAGGGCTGCCCAGGGACACTTCATTACCATGGCCGCCCAGGCAGCGGGCGGCTGGGCTCCCCGGGGCTTTCCCTGCAGAGCTAGAAGGACTGGTCCCTGGAACGGAGCCAGTTCTCAGCTGCTCCCCTCCTTGGGCTGCGCTCTGCGATAAGGACGTACAGGGGGATGTCCCAGCTGGCAGAGAAGGGATGAGGGGCTAGGGAATGCTGGTCTCCTCCCTGCCTAATACTGGAGCCTGTGCCTAGGTGTCCAGAGCCAGCCAGCCAGGTTTGCGTGGGTCAGTGAAGGTACAGCTAAGGACTGAGCCCCACATCCTTAGACTCTAAGACCGGAAGAAGCTGTGTGCATCGTCCGGTGCTAACCTAGTTCTCTCATTTTACAGATGAAGAAACTGAGACCTAAAGAGGGAAAGAGAGGCCTCACAGGGACTCGGGAGGAAGAAAGAGCTAGGACTGCACTCCAGGGTTCTTGAGTCCCAACCGAAAAGTCTCTGTGCAACAGGCAGTGTCCCAGTTACCCGTGCATTAAGTTAGCTACGTGCATGGTACATGGGGTCACTTTAAAGAGAAAAGATTCGTGGATCTCTCCCCTGGAGATTCACACTGAGGACTAAGCCTCACTGATCTGCTTTTTAGAGACTGTCCCTAGGTCAGGCTCATGTTGGAGTGGAGAGTCAATGCTGAGGCTCTGAGGCAGCCGCTGTGGCTGAAGTTCTGGTACAGGGCTAGAGCAGAGGGCGCATGGGGGTGAGGGTGGCTTCAGAGGGTGGATCAGAGGACAGACACCTGGGCATGTGGGTCTACCGCCTCTTCCTCTCTTACTTCCTCCCGTCCTCCCCTTTCCAGGCCTGGGCGTGGAAGGAGAACTTCCTGGAGGTGGGGACTCTGGAACGCTACACAGTGGAGAGGACCAACTCCGGCAGCGGGGTGCTATCCACACTCACCATCAACAACGTCATGGAGGCTGACTTCCAGACCCACTACAACTGCACCGCCTGGAACAGCTTCGGGCCCGGCACTGCCATCATCCAGCTCGTAGAGCGAGGTGACTGGCCAAGCTGGCTGCCCAACCAGGAGCACGGGCAGCCTGGGGATGTAACACTCCCTTTTCTCTCTGGGCCAGAGCTCAGAGAGACAGAGCTCACCTTCTCCTTCCTTGTCTTTCTCAAACTCTCTCTTTCACCTCCGCACCAGAAGCTGGCCTTGGTGCTCAGTGGGAGAAATTTGCTCACTTTGTGAAGGTTTATTGAGGATCTTCTTGTGCCAGGCTCTGCACAAGCGGCTGTAGGGACAGCCATGAATAAGACACAAGCTGTGCCCACAAGACTCTCAGCTTAGTGGGGGAACTTGCAGCGTAGAAGCATAGGGGTGCAGATGGGACAAACGTGATCTGCTCAAAGACGTAGTAACAGCTACCGACCTCATTGAGCTGTTGTAAGGGTTAACTGAGAGGAATATTTGTAAGATGCCTGGGGTACAGCAGATGCTCAGTAAGTTTGGGTTCCTCCCACCTCTTCCAAATCTCAGTCTGCTGGGACAGGCATGTGCCTTCCTTCACACTTCCAATGGGGCTTTGAGGTCGGGACACTCCCCAGGCTGATAAGGCAGTGATAGCATTGTTTTTTTCTGTTGTTTTGGTTTTTGAGTCCTAGCTGTTGCCAGGGAGAGTGGGAAGCCAGGGAAAAGCCATCCCTTCAAGTTCAGCTGAGGATGCCCTCAGGGGTGAGGTGCGGGATGAGAAGAAAGAAGAGAGTTGTGTGGGGTGCAATGGAGAAGGATCTCAGAAGAGAAGAGCCATAGGCAAGACCTGAATCCAACTAAGACTGTCAAGAAGAGAGAGAAGGCGCAGGCAGGATCCCTGGGCCCCTTCTCAGCTCGAGGAAGCCGAGGGGACCAAGGAAGACTGAGCTCAGGGGAAAAGTGTAGATGGGGCAGGCACCGCTGTGTGGATGGGCACGGCAGCAAGAGGTTGGGACACAGGTGGCAGGTTGGAGACTTCAGAGACAGCTGATGTCAAACAGGGGCCCAGCCCAGGAAGGAGGAACCAAGCTTCATGGGCAGCTTGGCCAAAAGAGACAGACATGCCCAAGCCCAAGCCCAAGCCCAAGCCAGTGCCCAGCTGCAGGGTTGGGGTGTGATCCTGACCCCAACTATTGCCAAACGGAGGCACAGACTCAACCCAGCCACAGTCCAGACCTTCCTCTCCATTACCCACTGGACTTAGATCTCAGAGTCCACCAGCTCAATCAGAACTTAGCTTTAGCAGGACGTGCTAGTGCACCTGTAATCCCAGCACTCAGGAGGCTGAGGCAGGAAGATCATGAGTTTAAGGCCAGCCTGAGCCACTTAGCAAAACCCTGTCTCCAAAATAAATATTTTTAAAAATTTAAATTAAAAAATACCAAAACCTTAGCCTTGTGCACAATCCAGTGTTGCCACTTTAGCCTTTTGCTGAGACTTCAGGCAACACGAAGCTCAGATTCCCAGTGTGACCCCATTCTCACTGCTCTCCTTTCCTTCCCCCGTCGGAAGAGGTGCTACCTGTGGGCATCATTGCTGGGGCCACCATCGGTGCAGGCATCCTGCTCATCTTCTTCTTCATCGCCTTGGTCTTCTTCCTCTACCGTCGCCGCAAAGGCAGTGAGTCTGGGCCCCTCGCAGCTAGAGTACCCTCCTCCCCGCTACCTCAGATGCACAGGGCAGGCAGTGCCTGTGATGGGTGAGGGGTGTCGGCTGAGCTCCTCAGCCCAGTGGGGGTAGCGGTGGAAGCAGCCACGGCAGAGGCCAGCAGAAAGCATCAGGCCCTGCTGCATGTCCCTGTCCCAGGCCGCAAGGATGTAACCCTGAGGAAGCTGGATATCAAGGTGGAGACCGTGAACCGAGAGCCACTCACGATGCATTCTGACCGGGAGGATGATACGGCCAGCGTCTCTACAGCAACCCGAGTCATGAAGGCCATCTACTCGGTGAGGGCGCTGCTTCTCTTGTCCCTGCCCTTTCGCGCTTAGGCCCAACCCCACCCAGCTTCTGAGAACTGCTGCCATTCCCTCCTCCCTCGCTTAGCTCACCCGGGTCCTGCCACAGGCACTGACACATCACACACCCGACACACCCACACGCACACTTACTGCCCTACTCACATTCACTGTGCTCGGCTAATTTCCCTCCAGCAGAGATGTGGGGTGGGGGGTGCTCCTTAACCTTCCTTCACTTCATCTACTCCACTCCATCCGCTGAAACCAGTGATCCCCAACCTTTTTGGCACCAGGAACCAGTTTTGTGGAAGACAGTGTTTCCGGGGTGGGAGGGTTGGGGACGATGTGAAGGTGTGCACAACCTGCATCCCTTCCACGCTCAGTTCACAGTAGGGTTTGTGCTCCTGTGGGAATCTACTGCCTCCACTGTGATCTGACAAGGTGTGGAGCTCGGGCAGCACTGTGTGTGATGCACAGCAGCTACGAACACAGACAAAGCTTTGCTTGCTGCCCCGCTGCAGCCCGGATGCTAACAGGCCGGAGATCCCTGACTTCCCTAGAGTTTCCTGGTCCCAGATAGCAGCAGCAATATACAAAGGCCACACTGAGTATTAGCAAGAAAATGAGTGCTGGAGCCCAGGTCTGCGGGCTCATCCCACTACCTCCCCGAGCTTCCACTGAGAGAGGATATGCAGTCTGCCCTTGACCTCAGACCCTTCCCTTAGCAGTGGCTTCTGGGAATGGGGACAGGGTTGAGAGGGGGATAAGAGCAGAGACCCTGTCTCCTCACACCCACTCCTGCTGCTCTGCAGTCCTTTAAGGATGATGTGGATCTGAAGCAGGACTTGCGCTGTGACACCATTGACACCCGGGAGGAATACGAGATGAAGGTTGGAAGAGGGGCTGATGGGTGGAGGGCTGAGGATGGACAGATGGATGGGAAGGGAGTTGTAAGAGGAGGGGGAGTGGTGCTGGATGTGGCCAGAGATAACTAGAGGGAGATCCCCAGGAGGATGGCGGGACCTGATCCCCCCAAGAGGAGGCTCTCAGCTCCATCCTCCTCTCTCGCTGCCCGCCAGGACCCTACTAATGGCTACTACAATGTGCGTGCCCACGAAGACCGCCCATCCTCCAGGGCAGTGCTGTATGCTGACTACCGAGCCCCTGGCCCTGCCCGCTTCGATGGTCGCCCCTCATCCCGTCTGTCCCACTCCAGTGGCTACGCTCAGCTCAACACTTACAGCCGGGCCCCTGCCTCTGACTACGGCCCTGAGCCCGCACCCCCTGGCCCAGCTGCCCCAGCCGGCACCGACACCACCAGCCAGCTGTCCTATGAGAACTATGAGAAGTTCAACTCCCATCCCTTTCCTGGGGCAGCTGGGTACCCCACCTATCGACTGGGCTACCCCCAGGCTCCCCCCTCAGGCCTGGAGCGGACCCCATATGAGGCGTACGACCCCATTGGCAAGTACGCCACAGCCACACGGTTCTCCTACACCTCCCAGCACTCGGACTACGGCCAGCGGTTCCAGCAGCGCATGCAGACTCATGTGTAGGGGCCAGAGACTGCTGGGGTCTCTGCGGGGCAGAGGAGAAGGCTTTCACAGCTGTTCCCTGATATTCAGGGGCATTGCTCCTTGCTCCCTTCCCTGACCAGCCTTCCTCCTCTGGCCACGACAGGTGTGGAGCAGGTCTCCCAGAAACACCCCATCCCGAGGATGGTGCTTTGTGCATGCCCCAGCTTCCCGGGCCTGCCCTTCCCTCTTCTTCGGGAGGCGGTGTCTCTTCCGACCTGTGCTCTTGCCTGACCCCAGCATGGGAACAGGGAAAATGAAGGTTGGGGAGAGCAGAGGGGGCACTTTTTAGCATTCCCTTTCTACCCCACCCCTCTGGTCTCCCGGAAGTGGGCAGAGGAGCATGCAGGGGTGGGCAGGCTTTGGCACAGACAGGTAGAAAGCAGGACAGCTCAGCCAGTCCCTTCCTCTGTTGTCTGCATTCACACTCTGAGTGCATCATTCCTTCTGCAGAAGACTGCAGAAGAAGGGACCTTGGATTTGGTTTAACTCTTGTCTACAGAACTGCCCTGGTACTAAGTTCAGCTGGGGTCAAAATGCTAGTCACTCTGGTACCACTGTGGACATCTGTCTGTCCAGAGGGATCCAGAAATCACCAGTAACACTGCCCTCTTTGCTCCTCTAAGCTGGGCCAGCCAAATAAGCCAGGGTTGTGGTGGTGTAGGACCATGCCCTGAGGGACCCTCAGACCACTGTGTGCTGCGTGGCAGCTCCCAGAACCAACACTAGAGGGAGCCACTCAAGCACCCTTCTCTCCCTAATATACCCTACTTCCTGGCTTTAATTCTTGAGCCAACTGAGGGAGTGGTAGTTGGGGCAGATAGGCTGTTTTCTTAAAGGCAACAAAAACAATGAAAACCTCACTTGGAAAGAAAAGCTGTAGGGGTTCCCCTACCCAAGTACAAGTCCCAGTGGAAAAGAAAGGGGCCACTTGTTCTTCTCCACCAGGTTCCTGTCATCCTCCATGACCCTTGTGTCTAAGCACTTTGAATCCGTTGTATACATTCAGGTGGTGAGACCTGTGGCGCGGGCAGGTGGGCTCCATGGGGGTGGGAGGTGCTGCTGTCTTACCTTAGGCTCACTGGCTCGTCAGAGCCCACCTTCCAGAAGGCCTGGGCCTGTCTCTCCAGACAGGTTTTGGTTTAAGTGTCTTTTTCTTTTTGGACCAATCATATTTCTTCCACTTCCAGTGCCTTCAGTGTCAAGCTTTGGATGACCGTCCCTGTGGGCGGTCGCATGGGGAGCGAGTACTTGTGAGCTTCAGACAGGCTGCCAAGTGTTACAGTGTTGAAGGAGAGACAGGGCAGAGGGCTGGGAATGTCCCTGACAGAGAAGGTGGCTGGAAGGGCACTGCGGGCATTCCACGCCTGTGCTTCCTTGTCCCACACCCATGTGCACATGCGCCATACACATTCCAGCCGTCACTTCCCAGCCGCCACCTTCTGACCAAAGAGAGCAGGCACTCCAAAGAGAACCTGTGCCCCTACCCTGGCCTCACCTTCCCCAAGAAGCCACTTCTGGAGTTGGCTCTTCACCTCCTCATGGCTGCCAGTCCAAGGGGAGGGGGCCTCCAGTGCAATTCCCAGAATGCTCGTTGCCCTTTCTTGGTGGTCACCATTCATTAGTCATGCTCGCTTTAATGAGTTACATGCTCATCAGCCACGGGCCATCACCACCCTTACAGATGGGTCTGTGGAGTGACATTTCTTAGCCATCCCCTGGCTAGTAAGGACCAGACAATACCCAGGAAGCACACAGCTCCACCTCCAGCCTGGCAGGCAGCCATCCCCTCCCCTCCATCATCAGTGGGACAGTGCCCGCAGTGGGCCCCACCTGGGCCTTTACACTGCTCCGGCTGTATTCAATCCCTGGGGAATCATACATCCCTGCAGAGTCCTTGCAGTAGAGCTCAGCGACAAGGTCTGTTAGAGAATACAGGTTCCTGTGCACATATTCTCAAGCCAACTTTTATTCCTCATGGACTCCAGAAGCCATGGGTAATCCAAGTACTTTCAATATGGTGGCTTTTTAAACAAATATCCGACAGAACACTCGTTTTTGTGTGTTGGGTCTGGCCAGATTCTCTTACTTTCCTCTGGTTAGTTGAAGTAGTTGGTCTCTTCTGTTGAAAGGATGGAGAGGAGGCACCAGCATCAGTAGGAAACTCAGCTAGTACCTAGCACCGTGGGAGAATCCCTGAGAAGTCTGATAGAGAGCTGCCACTCTGTTCTCTGTTCCTCTTCACTTGCCCTGGGGCCTTCTGGGTATCTACACCAAGCAAGGCCCAGGGAAATAGCAGCAACCAGGCTAGACTCTGCCCTCTGCAAATTACACACTGCACAGTCAGAAGCGGAGGTGGGACCTGTCTGTGTGGTGAGTTCAAGGTGCCCTTGATCACAGCTCTGCTGTCAGGCTGGTGTCCTCCAGCACAGTGGTACCCCGGTACTTGGTGACCTGATCACCTCTGGCAGTGCTTTCTTAGTGGAAAAAAAATGAGGCTAAGGGTCTGTTCTGAAGCTGCTATTTACTGAGTGACCTGGGCCTAACCTCTGTGTTCACTGCCTCTAATTTTCTGACCTGCAACTTAAGGGGAAAGGCTTGCACAATCCTAGAACTATTGTTTTTAATGTGTTCATTTGAGGAGGTGTGGTAGAGGGCTGCCCTTCTCTGCCGAGGAGTCTGGAACAGTCAGTAAGAAGGGTGTGGGCTGGGAGCTGAGAGGTTCTCTTCCATGGGAAGAAGCTTTCTCTACAGGATCCACTGTCCTATCAGAAGTGTTGTGAGTTCGTTTCCACCAGCAGCCCCTTTATTACAAACAGCTGCTTTCAACCTGGGTGTCTGTGCTGCTCCTCGCTCAGTTCTGATAGGTTTGCAAAGATGTCTGTGCCAGAGCAGGGCACCTGCTACGGGGGAAGTGGAAGTAACCACCGGCTCCTCATTTGGGGACCTCAGAACCTTCCCCTGACCAAGGAACAACACCCCGCTCAGCCTGCAAGGCGAAGCCAGTGATCCAAAGAATCTTGAGTCGGAAGCGAGGGAGCACATTGGATGTGCAGCTGGTGGAGGGCTAGAAGGATACAGTGGTTCTGACGCAAGCTCTGGATCTTCAAGGGATTCATGTGAGTGGGTGAGCCGTGACCTCTCTGCTTGTGGAGGGGCCTCCTACACCCTAAGTTCTAGGTCCCTCAAAAATCCAACCAGAGCCAGGTGTGGTGGTGCACTCCTGTAATCCCAGCACACGGGAGGCTGAGGCAGGAGGATCCTTGCAAGTTCAAGACCAGCCTGGGCTGCAGAGTGAGCTCAAGACCAGCCTGAACTGCATAGCGAGACCCTGTCTCAAAGACAAAAAAAAAAAAAAAAAATTCAACCAGAGTATGCATGAGACAAAACCCATCCTAACTGAGAAAGGAGAGTGGCCAGGAAAGGGAACAGTGCTAACCCTTCACGAATGTTTGGCATAGAATGAAAAGGCTAGTTACCCTGCCTGGTCTCTCGGCAGTATGTTGTCTCCTAGTCTTGGCAGTTGGTACCTCCAGATGGAGCACACTGCAGCAGAGCTTGTTGCCCGCATGCCATGTTGCTAACCTGCGGGTGCTCTACCAAGGGAACACAAGACATGAGCTCCTTAGAAGGGAATCAGATGGGCTGTCTGTACACTTGACCCGTACACACAGCAGGGTCAGGCCGTGGGGATTTGAAAAAGCACACATGAAAACCAAGACCCAGGGGCTGGGGATGCAGCTCAGCGGCACAGTGCCTGCCTGGCAAGCGTAAGGTTGTGAGTTTGGTTCCCGGTACCGGGAACCCCCTCCTCCCCCAAAAAAGAAAACCAAGACCCACTGGCTTAGTCCCTGCCTCATTCTGCAGTGTGGGCAGTTCTGTCCCTTCTGGGGAACTCTAGGACCCACACAAGGCTCTGAAATCCTGGTTGTTACCCTGTTAGTGCTGTGTTATCTGAGCCATTGCACTGCCCCGTGCCTCTGCAGGCCACTCTGCAAGTTGGGGAATCACCGGAAAGAATTAGTGAAGCTCCTGACCTTGGTGAGCCCAGTGAAGAGGTGACACTGACGTGCACAAACTGAGTGTCGTTTATTTTTGTGAGGAACCTATACAATTAGCATCTGAATGTCCCTCCCCACCCCACCCACACATCCCCTTGCCCTCTGAAGGTGTTGCTCCTCTCCTGGAGGCCAGGCTGTTTCTGAGTAGCACTGGCTTGCCTTTGGCAGCTTCGTTCTGACACTGCACCTCTGGGCTAATGGAGAGGACTGAGACATGTAGCTTGGGAGATGGAAAGCAAAATCTTGTTTTCTTGTATCACTGTGAGGGAGCTCCAGGCCCGGTCCCTGGAGAAATAATTGCTGCGCAGAAATCACAGGCCATATTGGGCAGTTTGGGTACAAGCCTGCCCTTTATAATAATAGCTCCATATGCATAGAGCTCGTTCCTACCAATCTGCTGTCCGCCATCCCTGGCTCTTGACTGGCCCTGCCCACTGGCCTTTGTAAGGCAGTGGGCCAGGGCTCTTCTCTTGGTTTCTGGAGCTCTTCAGACACAGCCCTTGGGAACATCTGGACCCTGGGGGAGATGGTAATCAAACTGCCAGCACAATCAAACTCTTGGCACGGTCTCTTCAGCAATAGTGACCCAAAAGATGTTGCTGCCTCTGTTTTCACCAAGAAGAAGCCCAGGGCTCCCTGCAGTCGTGTTTTCTACCCCAGCCCTTCTTGGGAATGTTTCTGGCTCCAGTTGAATTTTTTCCACCCAAATCCCAATGATAAATGGATCCATGATGATAATTAAAAGAAGAGGAAAAAAAATATTATTTTTGTTAGGACAAACCATCGTAGATTTTTAGCAATGTGTATCTGTGTGTCCCTCACACCTTTTCCTATTCTGCCTTTTTTTTTCTTTTTTTTTTTTAAATATTATGTACTATATTTTTAGTCTCAAACACACTATATATTATATATATTTAATTTTTTTATATATATAAATATAAATGTTTTAAAAAGTGCCATGTTCTGTGTTATTTAATTCACGAGCAGCTGGTTACCTCAAGGGCTGCCAGGTTTGAGGTGAAATGGTCCAGGTTTGCAGCAAAGACAGGTTTGGGATTGAGACCGCAGGAACTGTATTTGTGTCACCTCCAGGTTGTGTAGCAAACACATTTTATTCACCAGTCTGTGACTGTTGCAGAACCCAGAAGCCAATTACAGCCATTCGGGGACAAACAGCTCTGTGCTTTTGGAGCGCAGCTTCCACACGTTCTGTGCCAAATCTGATTATGAGGATGAGAAAGGGGGAGGCTTTGAATCTGGGATCCAGATCCCAAAGGATTGGCATCACTGGGGGTGCAGGCTGGGGGCTAGGTTGGTTTTGCTCCGGGTGGGGGAGGGGGAAGCGAAGTGACCAGGTCTCCAACCGTTTGAGCTTGTAGTGAAAGGGAGTAAGGGAGCGGGACAGCTCGGCAGAGTTGATTGGGTTTGCTGGATTTCACCCTGCTTATTTCATGAGCCTGTTTGAGGATACCTGGGATTGTTTTCCGATAATGGCTGTGAAAATTATAAATCAGAGAAATGCAAGGACATACTGTTTTCCTCATCCCGTTAACAGCAAAACTTAAGAGAGTTCACAGGAGCCTTTTCCTATATATAGTTCACAGAACAGCCAGAGACAGACATAGGGTGGGAGAAATAAAAAAAAAGAGAGCTCATTGAAACCATTTCCAAGAAGACTGGCAGTTTCATCTCAGGAGTTGCGGCCAAGAGACAGTACAGGTGCAGGGCGCTTGAGTCCAGAGGCATGAGGCCAGGACCCAGGGCTTGCAGGCCCCAAGGTGAGGGCAACCTGGATGGGAATGAGAGGCCCAGTGGAGGCTGAAGCTACAGGGCGCAGCATCAGTGCTGCTCTGGCCAAGGTCACCACTGATAGGATAGAGACGTAAGTAGAATAGGGTGAGGGGGGGCATGTTTTGCAAACATGGAAGCCCAGGTGAATTACTAGGCTGAGTGGTGCTGGTTGGAATGCTTTCTGTGCTGGTGTGTGTCTGCTTGTGTCCTGCCACCTGTGCTGTATTTCCACTTGAGGTACATTTCACTCAACTGTCCAAGATCATGTTCAGGTTACAGTGGCCATCGACCCTGTTGTTTATCTCTGCATCCCCAGAGTCTAGCACAGGTCCAGCAGGTGCTCTGGGGAAAGTCTGGGTGTACATAGGGAATCACCTGGGCTTAAGCTTACTTTCTTCTTGGCCACAGAAAGGCTATAGGAACCTGTTCCAGTCTACTAGGCTTTGTCCCATGCCAGGACCTCAGCCATCCTTTCAGTTACTTCTACCCTGAGGACAATGGCGTTGTGTCTTCATCACCAAAGCACTGGGAAGCTTTAAAAACCACTCCTTCTTTGTAAGGTCTTCTGCCCCACACGCAGCAGGAGCTCTCGGCCTGGTTCAGATGCTCCTGTCTGCCCTTTCACACCAAAGTATGAAGGCCAAAGTCCTCTGGGATCTGATGCAAGACCACTCTTCCAAAGAATCGAGTCATTCAGCGGTACCTTTCAAATACCCCCAGTTCAATCCAATCAAATGCAGTGAACCCTCCTTAGAAGTATGGCCTCGATTTTCCTGCCTCTGTGCTCTTTTCCTTGCTTGTACATTCTCATTTACAATTTTTGCTTATCTTTCAGACCCAGGTGTCTTCCACGAAAGCTGGCCTGATTCTTTACCCACCTTTCCTTCCTTCTAGGGAGTCTCATGCTGGCCTCATCTCATCCCTATCTTCTGCTCTGTGTGTCACATCAGCACTTGCCTTGTAGGAGAAGCATGCTTGAAAGCAGAGACCCTGCATCACTCACTGCAGGTCCCTGTCACCCAGCACAGTTCCCGGCATAGAGTTGCTCAGTGTGCTGGAGGAGTGCACGGATGGAGGGAAGGCAAGAGGGAATGGAGTCATCTAACACTACAGTCCAGGAGATTTAACCTAGAGGAAGGAATCCACACAGTAGTAAAGCATGGTGGTGCAAAGTGTGTATTCAGGTTACAGCCAAGCTGATGGGCACGGCCAGTGCATATTGATGCTGGGCTCTCTCTGAGTCCCCTGGCTGCTGGACAGCTCCAACCTGATACTTTTGACCAATGTGTTATAAACAGAAGTGACATGTCACTTCTAGACCAAAGCACTTAATTGCCAGTGTGAGGCTCTCCAGCTTTTTCCTCCCCTGCCATAGCGACAAAAGCGCATTGATTCCAGATGGTGCAGCTTTTCAATAGAGAGTCGCTCTGCCTGGGTCCCTGAGTGGCTGTCATCTGCCAACCCATAATAATTGTGTAACTTTGTTTTTGTTTTTGTTTTTTTCTTATCAGTACTGGGGATTGAACCCAGGCCTTTCACACTGAGTTACATCCTTAGTCCTTTTTATTTTTTGAGACAAGGTCTTGCTAAGAGATTAAGTTGTCCAGACTGGCCTCAAGGTTGTGAGCCTCCTGCCTCAGCTTTCCTTGGTACTTGAGATTACAGGTGTGTGTTACCATGCTCAATAATCATGTAATTGGAGAGAGAGGTGAATCTTTGTTTTGATTCTGATTTTGGAAGGGGTCTTGCTTGTAATCAGAGGGCCATGCCAAGCTGGAGCTCTCTACCACTGAGTTACACCCCCAGCTCCCAAGAGGACATCCTGTGGTTTTTTGCTACTGCAACTTAGTGTATCTCACCCGGATGATCACAGGGAGTGTTAAAATCCTCCCTTTACCATTTGATCCTTGTAAATTACATCTCTGCCTCTCTCTTTTCTCTTCTGTGAAATAGACTGCTATTAGTTTCTATCCCACAGAAAGTGCTTAGCAGAGTTCTAGCACTTAAGCCCTCTGTAAATATTCACTTCTGTTACTTTAGAGGAAAGGGGGCTGTGGGCATCTGTCCCTTTTCTGCCTTTGCCCTTTTCCTTAGAGGCATCAGGAAAGATGTGGACAATTGCCCAGGAGATCAGAAAAGAACACGGGCTCTGGAATGAGACGTTTAGGTTAAAATCTAACCCAGCAATGCCTCATGTAACTCCGTGACTCATTACAGGTTAGCACACTTTTCTGGTCCACCTCATCTAAGCGTAAAATCTCATGAGCACTAAATGAGATAGAGAAAAGCCTTTTGTAAAATGCTAGCTGCTGATCTATGAGCACTGTGATACCCCACCCACCCCATCCTCATTCCTGCACCCAAGCCACACACCTCTCTGCTGCTGCAGATGCTGCTCTAGCGGGGACCTGATAGGGGAAT